GCTTCTACACCATTCAGTTTTCTTTTGTTTTTGTGACGGATTTAGAAAATCCCAAAGACTGCTACAGTAACTTCACCTATTTGCCAAGCACTTAGATCGGCCAGAAGCCTGAGGCACTTCTCTTGCTTTTTTTTTCCTTATCTGTGAACTTTCCTTTTTTTTTTGCCGGGGCAGTGAGCTTTAAGCTCATGCCAAAATACTGGAAATGAAGACCAAAAGAAAATGTCTTCTCATTTTGATTTGAATTTTTTAAAAGATGCTTTCTCTTCACTCCATTACTCTGTGTTTGCCATGGACTGCCCTCATTGTGGAGATGAAATGCTCTAAGCATACTCAAAGCGTAGGGATCTTGGGTAGAAAGCTAATGCAGGAAACTAGAATTTAGTCACCTCAGCAGGGGTGGATGTACTTCAGGACAGAATGAAACACCCCGCCTGAGTGAAAGCAAAGCAAAATTTTAATGAAGATAGTCACAGATACTTGAGACATTTGTAAATCATTCTTGCCCCTAGTAAAGGACTCCTCATTTCCTTTCTTTCTCACAGAGTGATTGTAAATATCACCAAAATGGAACCCTCTTATGTGTGTATTTAGCTGCAGTCCCTTGCTTTCTTTTTTTAATGCTTTCTTTCTTTAATTCTTTTTGTTTGGTTATGTGATTTTCGTGCAGGCGGATTCAGTGAGGGAATACACACACTAAAAGTTGTGTTGAAACTGTGTTCACTGGTCTTGTTTCTCTCCAAAACGAGAGGAAAAAAAGCAAAGACTGAAAAACGCTCCATTTCCTCTTTTAACTGGCGGAGCTCTGATAGAGAGTGCCACTCTCTTCACATGGCCTCAGGACGTTACAGAACTGTAGAGGTCAAAGGTTGATACCTCTCCTTTTAGCTCCTCCTCCTCTTGGTCAATAAGGACCGCCCCCACCTGTAACCCCCGACACCTACCCTTAGTCCAGACACCACTTGTACAGGTGAATAAAAAAAAAACGTTGCTAAATGTGAAATGTTACTAAAGAAAAAAAACATAACAGTGGGTTTTAAAGTTTTTGACTAGTTTTATTAGGTGTTTTAGAATTGTGTTGAACTCATCTTTATCATTTTTTGTGAAGAAAAAAAATCTGAAGACATTTTGTTTTTTCACTGTAGCAGGATTTGCGTTTGGAGGAAAAGTCATGGGGGTAGATATTTTAATTTTGTGTATAAACCTGCCAAATGTACTTCTTTAATTTGTAAAGCCAGTGCGGAGAGAACCCATTTTGTTTTGTTGAATATCATATGTTTTACAATATGGTCATTCTATTTAATTTGGTTGCAGGTTTCACATCTATTTATGAATGATATGAAGTAATATTTTGGCTTTTTTTCATCAGGGTGCATTATTATTATTATCATTATTATTATTATTATTATTATTATTATTATTATTATTATTGATCAAACACCATGATTATTAGAATAATAAATATTTTTTCAGAAATTGTTGTTGGTGCAACAGCAGTGTACCAGCATTAGATTCATTTTGTGTCACAAATACTTCTTTTGTTTTCTTTTGTCTGTAATAAAATGTTTAAAGTGGAGAAGTGGACGTGCAAATCAGTTATTTTGATCGGTTAGTTTGCTGTGGTTTACATTACTGCATCTCAACACATTCATTCGTAATTTGATAGCTGCTGTAGCCTATAAACATAACTTTGCATTCCCCTGCACTATGTGTTTATTAGGAGAATTATCTTTGAAGTGGTAGGAAAGTGAATGTGACCTTTGTCACATGGCTCATTAGGTGAGAAGCTTAGGCTCAGTGTATCTTCGTTTAATGAACTTTAACCTTTTTATAGTTTTTTTTCTTTACTTTAAATCCAGACATGATCAATACAGTATATCAAGCACATGTCTGCCTGCTGGTCACGTTTTTTTGGGTAAAGGTGTGATGATGAAACTCAGAGTTGATGCAGCAGTACACGGCCTTTCAGGGAACTACCTGAGAAGAAAAAACGAACTGCCTTTTACTTACAAATTTCACAGTTGGATTAAAGGTAGAATAGAAATGGAATCTATCATACCTCCCTCTCTCTCTCTCTCTCTCTCTCTCTATCTACATGATGATGATGATGACGCAGTGCCCCCTAGAGCTGATTCATGAAACTTACCACATTGTTTTCAGTACTCCTATCCAAAGAGGGAAATAATCAATTCATTGCAATTCAATGACTTCAGTTAGACTGTTGGTGAAGTGTAATGCTGATATGTTTTAATGACAATAAAGGACATCAAAGGCCCTTGCCTCACCATCATTACCACCATAGAGGTGCCCTTGACCAAGGCCCTTATCCTACAAATGTGGTTCTATTGTAAGGCGATGTGAATGTGTATAAATGTGTGAGCGTGAACAGGGGAAAGAAGAGGGCATTGCTCTCAGCAAAAGCACCCTTAAAAATTAATTAAAAAGTTATGTTAAAATTAAAAAACACTTGAGAAGTAACATTTGTGAGCAGATGAGAGCAGAATGTCTTTTAAATGCCAACCACTGGGGAAATATGAAATATTTCACATGGCATATAGCTTTAAAAACAGCCATTGTTTTAACACTGTTATGGTTGATTGCAACTGTAAAAGACAGCAATAAAGCAGACTGGACCGACTGGTTTATATTCTCCTTTTGATGTTACTCTATCTCCATCTGCTGGTGACATTTAGTGCTTGTTGTAAGTCTCTGGTTCTATCAAAAAAAAATCAAACCTTATGCCAAAATCTACATTGTATATGCATGATGATGCAAAATAATAGGTACAAAACAAGAAAGCACAACAATATCCAGATCCTAACTACATTAAGTCTCAATTTCAGCAGTGCAAAAAATATTTTAGTCCTAGATCTTTTACCAAGTGAACCAAGCCAAAAATCAACCCATGTGATAAAATGTTGTGTAAAAACTTTTGAGTTTCATTTCATTTGGTTTTATATTTTTTCTTTTGTTTCAAGACCATGCTTGAAACAAGTGAAATGCTCAGGGGACAAGAGGATTTATTTCACCCCACTGGTAGAATTTTTCTTTTTTTATGAAAAATAGCAGGTTCAATACAAGCAACTAAATTATGAGTAAATACTGATGTTGATCATGTGCTTTGCTGTTGAGTCAATCTCAGCTGGTTAAGTAATTGAAACTTCATGCAGATATAGTTTTGCCTAGGGGTTATTTTCCAAAGCAAAAAGCTAGACAGGAAAACTGTGCAAAATAAAAAAAAATAAAATAAATATAAATTTGTAGAACAAAAACAATAATAAATTGAAAAACAAGACACGTTGCATGTTAAGGATTACTTAAGACAAACAACACATCTGTATGTTTTAATGTTATCTGACTAATTCCTGCTTTGTGACATTACCTTTGACAGATGTTTTTTTTATATGTTCTTTCTATGACAATAACAAATGTCCTCTAGTCCTTTGATTAGACTTCACTGGAGCTGGGCTTTACAATAGTGTACAGATTTATTATTCTAGAAACTAAATTAACTGGTGATGTCCCTGTTTGATGCCATCTCTTGTTGCAGAAGGTATCAAAATACTCTTTACGTCACTTGTGCAATATTGGCTCCTTGCTTGTCCAATCTCTCATCACTAATATTTTCTCCAGCAACTCTGATACTGGTTCCATCAGTAAGCATCAGACCCTCTCATTTCCTCTTCAGACGGATATGAACTCTCCCGACAGCGCCGGCATCAGCAGCCTCATTGTCTGACAGCCAACAAACAAGACAAGACAAACAAGAAACGACAGAGCGTTTCATACAGATCACTACCCAAACACTTGATGGCTGAGATGATAACGCCGGTGGACGACATTTTGAAAAAAAACGTGCTTGTGGAACATTCTCGCTTGGATAGAAGCTATCTTGTGTTTTGGGATTGCTTGTTCTATTTGAAACTGTTATCTGCAGATAGGCTGGGGCTAGCTTTTTGTTAACTTGTGCAAGTATATTAGGATGCACATTTCTTTTGTTGGCTACGGCTTTACAAAACACAACCAGGCAAACTTTGAACAAAAATATTTTTATTGTTACATGTACACGTACCTACCATGGTCACTGATATACAGCAGTTACAATAATTGGCATAGGTACTTTCATTTTCAGATTAAAAATATGTTTTTCCCATACATTTCATTAGGTAAACACCATTAAGGGTTCATACATACAGTAATACTTTGCACACTAAAATACAGTATGTTGTGCGATATACAGTGGCAACCACAGAAACCATATATCTTCATAGTCGCAATCAATGATATACTGTGTGTTTAAGAGATGTGTGTACCCTTATTCAATCTATTCAGATATATTAAGTGCACATACAGAGCTCTTCCTGTAAGCATTGTGCTGTTGAGTTGTGCTTGCAACTATCTGACTGTTGAAGATGAATAAATCATGGAGCTGAAAAGGTGCATTATGTTCAAAAGTTTGAGCTAAACTTTCATATCAGCTTTATTTTTCTTAAAATCTGGTGTAAATATCAGATGCTTTAGGGGGACATTGCCTTTAGGTGGTAATGACAGATGTGCCTCCCTTACCCTTACAATGAAAATTCATTTCTATGGTGGTATTTTTAAACTTAAATCGACTATTGTCCAATTTGTTCTGAATTGTTGGTCCAATTTTCAATAAGATGATGATTGAAGAACACATGTGTTTTTCAAAAGAGAAAGACAACGTTTCATTCCCCGGTGGCAATAGTGGAATAGTGGCACTCATTCTTCTATTTAGTGTCTTTAACCAATATCCATTACTATCCCATAGCCAACCATCAGTATTATGCATTTCCACTTGATTTGACAATGTCCTGTAATGAGTAGAGGCTGACAATCCACTAATCAATGGTTGATGTTTACGGTAACTGTCTTTATACTCTGTGTGAAATGTTTTCCACTCAACCACCACCCTCCTTCATGTTCCTTTTGAGTAGACTGGCAAAGTGCTTGCAATAACTTTGGGAGAACCTCAGATATTGCGTTCAAAAGTCAGAGTTTATAGGTACATTTCCTATAAAAACAAAGCTGCTGTCACTAAAGGTACAACATTCATCTTGGTCTTACAATGACATTTAAAAAACAACTGGAATATCAGCACTGACATGTCTGGCACATATTATATATACACACAATACAAATCACTAAACACTAGAATGGAGCTTACTAAATAAAACCACAATGACATCTATACAGGTCTTCAGTGTCTTACAATAATGCCTCACAAACAGGTGCTGGTATCCAATGTCATTTCATCAGCTATCATCACATATGGAACGCTGACTCTGACATGATTTGATGTCGGAATAACAACACGAGAAACAGACCTGCTTCACAACAACACATCTTAAGAAAACATTACATATCCTGTTTGATCTCACTTTAGTTTGTGCTTTAAGATAGTGCTGTGGATTTATTTTACAAAGGAATACAAAAAAATACAAATATTGAAATGAATGTTATTCAACATAAATATTAGTAGCACATAAGTCTAATGTAATCAGTGTTATGCTAGTTAACAATTTCCTCTTCCAACCCTGACCTCATTTATACACTGTACACTGTCAGTGACTGTTTCTTATATGAAAGTTAGTTCATACATCATTAACAGAGAGTTTAACTCACAAGTCATTATTCTATAAAACTGTAAACTATAATAAACTATGTGTATTTTGGTCATTAGTGTTGATTAAATGTAAAGAAAGTTAAAAAAGAAAAATGTTTCTTGCCCAACTAAGATGCTCATTTGTACACTTATGGTGAACAATCCACTTGCATGTTTCAGGCCACTAGAGTACATCATATGTAGCTTCTGATGCTGTGTTTGCAGTATTTCGCAGTTACTGTGTGCCTGCGAGCATTACTTGAGATTAGAGCATGAATCTCCATTTACTAACTAATATGCAACAAGTAAGCATGTTCTAGCATTAATGGAGATATAATTGTAAAATAGATTAAGAATACAATGCAGTGGAACGTCAAAAAACAACTTAAGATTTCCAAATTTTACACATTTTGTAGTGTTCATAAAATGTGCCTTCACAAGAGCATTACGTTCACGTAAACACCCCCCCTTTGCCAAGATTGCCAAGCCGCCCTTGTAAATACCAATTTGTTCCACTGAAACAAGCCTGGTTAGGTGAAGGGTTTTTAAAAAAGAACTGATGTGGCCAAATCACAAATGGAATGAATGTAAACATATCAACAGCGTTCAGACGAAAATATTAACTCAGTCTCGTCCTTTTCAGTTTGTCCAGTGTTATTCTGTTGCCTCATGTTGCTCCCTCTCCTCAGGAACAGACATGAAGATCTTCTGACAGAACATGGTGAAGATTTCTGAGGAGAAACAACTTGTCACGTTAGCCGTGTCTGTTTGCTTTTTATGGGGTTACTACGGGTCAAATGTACGTCAGATTTAATTAAACATCGGATCAACACCTTAATGTGCATTGAGTGTATAAACAAACCAAATGTATCAGTGTCCATAGCTGCACTCGAGCAGATTTTCTCACATGAATTTCATAACAAACTGCAATGAATACTTCTTCAGCCTCGCCTGAACAAACAGTCAAAGATGCTATAAAAACACAAAAGTGTCTGACTCACCCAGCATCTTCTTGACCACATAGGGTTTCTTCCACTTGTAGCCCAGTAGGTATGCCGGGATGCCTGTGAGAATGATGCTGCTGCCTACCAGGCACTCAAACGGAGCTGCCCAGAAGGACACAACGATCATGAAGACGCAGCCCAAAACAAAAGTTACAGGGATGAACAGATACACCTGCGGAAAGAAGATACAATAGATGTAGATGTATGATTTATTACTTTTAGAAAAGAGGAGAGTAGTTTAAACTGATCTTCTGAAATGTGTTGACTGACAAATTTCACGCAATGTTTCTTCTCATATGACATCATAGTTACATACACTATCTTTGAAAAGCAACATCATAATATGGAACTTTAACTTATGATGTGACAAAAGTATTTATAATGATTCAGTAAACTGTTGAAGTCGGTTACGTGTGTATATTATCCACATTATATGTATATGTATATTATTGTGTATGTTGTAATAAGTAATTATATAGTTATCTGGGTATTTATCAAATGTTAATGATTTTAAAAGGGACACTTTATTATTGTAAATTATTGTTAATTTCAAGTACATAAAGTATTTTGACATTTTAGTTTCTCATCTAGCTGAGCATCACAAGCTAATTAAGCTAAAATGCTGTCCTGTCAGAGGATCTGAATTTAGATGTTAGAAATTGACAACCATCTTGTTTTGTGTATGGTTTACACATAAATAGTAGAACTCTGTTTATTTCTTGTTAGAGGTTCATCTTATGAAACAAATATGACGAGACCACTTGGGCTCAAAGGAAAGATGAAAGACTCTTATCAACCAAAGTCATATTCCCATGATGAAACAGAAAACAAAGAACCATGTATTCATGTAAAAAAAACACCACTCCCTCTTATTCTGAAAACACAGTATGGTTCCACTTCCAATTAATAACAACAGCAGTGATACAATGGCGCTTTCATTATTTTAAAAAACAGTGGATGCTCTGTGAAACCAGGAGACCTGTTGATGTTTTGGGCAGACAAAGAAACTGGCTGAGGTTCAGGTAGAGCAAAGGTCCCATATGTGTAACTCAGTGAGTCTTAAATCCTTTAAAATTAATTTTCACATACAAGTAACCAGTGCAACAAGCATTTACCACCTGCAATACAAACTTTCAGATATGGGCACTCTACCTTAATAGGCCTTCTGAGGTCGGGCTTAGTAAAGCGAAGCCAGAGCATGCCAGCAATGGCCATACCGACACACAGCCAGGTGAAGAAGCTGAAGAGATTGATGACAGAGAAGATGTCCTGAGAAATGGCGTACATCATCGACAGCAAACACTAATGAAAGGGAAAAGGAGGACAAGATTGTATTAGTATTACATACGCAGCATAAAAACACACGTTGTTACTAGAGTGATTTTGTAGAATAGACGCTTTGCTATAAGCTAATGTGAATAGGAGAGTTGTAACTAACTTTTAGAGGCTTCACATGCGTATCAGACCAGATTTATGGACTGCATTCTTTTTAGCTAGTAACCATATTCAACTGCTCAAAATTGGAGAACACCAGTCAGAAACATCCATTTCTAATGCAATTTGTAATGGTGATGATTTAACGGTCAGATCATTGCTGTTAGTAGCAGGATTCTTACTGTGAAGATGAGGGACGGCACCGGTGTGAAGAGGTCTGTGTGGACCAATCCCAGAGCAGCAGGGAGTTGACCCTCTCGAGCTCCAGCATAGAACAACCTAGAAAAGGTAATATATAGAATTTTAAGTCGCTTTGGACTAAGCGTCAGCTGAGTAACTAATTATTATCATTATTATTATTTTTATTATGATCATTAAGCTCAAGACTAGTTTGAGCAGTAGTAAGTTTTTGGAACACTTTTAAACACACATCCAACAAACAAGCACTCCCAAACCTTATTTTTTATCATTAAACAATGATAATAAAGTGTTTTACAGTGAGCTAAATGCTCAGTTTTATATGTGCAACACACACCGTGCTGAGGTGAACAGAGATCCGTTAACGGCTCCAAAGCAAGACAGTCCCACAAAGACAGGAATCAGCCAGGACATCACACCAAGATGGTACTCCCCAAAGCTCTGCAAAACAGCACCACATACATGAAGGCAGCTCACATTTTGTGAAAACACAACCTACCAACACGTCCAAGGTAAGTAAGCAACTGATGAGGTATGAAACTCACCACGGCAACAGCCTCGGACTCGACCATGACTTGAGGAGAGATGGTGGTGAAGTAGGCTAGGTTGGTCAGAACGTACACCACCGTCACTATAGGCATCGATATGATGATGGACAAGGGAAGGTTTCTACAGGGGGGGAGAGGCCATTAATTAATGGTCAATAGAGAAAAGAGTACCCAACATATTTTCTACATCTGATCAGTCATGCTAGTTTATACAGTGGGTACGGAAAGTATTCAGACCCCTTTAAATTTTTCACTCTTTGTTTCATTGCAGCCATTTTCCAAAAATCAAAAAAGTTCATTTTATTTCTCAGTAATGTACACTCAGCACCCCATCTTGACTGAAAAAAACAGAAATGTAGAAATTTTTGCAAATTTATTAAAAAAGAAAAACTGAAATATCACATGGTCATAAGTATTCAGACCCTTTGCTCAGTATTTAGTAGAAGCACCCTTTTGATCTAATACAGCCATGAGTCGTTTTGGGAAAGATGCAACAAGTTTTTCACATCTGGATTTGGGTATCCTCTGCCATTCCTCCTTGCAGATCCTCTCCAGTTCTGTCAGGTTGGATGGTAAACGTTGGTGGACAGCCATTTTCAGGTCTCTCCAGAGATGCTCAATTGCGTTTAAGTCAGGGCTCTGGCTGGGCCATTCAAGAACAGCCACGGAGTTGTTGAGAAGCCACTCCTTCGTTATTTTAGCGGTGTGCTTAGGGTCATTGTCTTGTTGGAAGGTAAACCTTCGGCCCAGTCTGAGGTCCAGAGCACTCTGGAAAAGGTTTTCGTCCAGGATATCCCTGTACTTGGCCGCATTCATCTTTCCCTCGATTGCAACCAGTCGTCCTGTCCCTGCAGCTGAAAACCCCCCCACAGCATGATGCTGCCACCACCATGCTTCACTGTTGAGACTGTATTGGACAGGTGATTAGCAGTTCCTGGTTTTCTCCACACATACCGCTTAGAATTAAGGCCAAAAAGTTCTATCTTGGTCTCATCAGACCAGAGGATCTTATTTATCACCATCTTCGAGTCCTTCAGGTGTTTTTTAGCAAACTCCATGCAGGCTTTCATGTGTCTTGCACTGAGGAGAGGCTTCCATCGGGCCACTCTGCCATAAAGCCCCGACTGGTGGATTGCTGCAGTGATGGTTGACTTACTACAACTTTCTACCATCTCCCGACTGCATCTCTGGAGCTCAGCCACAGTGACCTTTGGGTTCTTCTTTACCTCTCTCACCAAGGCTCTTCTCCCCCGATAGCTCAGTTTGGCCGGACGGCCAGCTCTAGGAAGGGTTCTGGTCGTCCCAAATGTCTTCCATTTGAGGATTATGGAGGCCACTGTGCTCTTAGGAACCTTAAGTGCAGCAGAAATTTTTTGTAACCTTGGCCAGATCTGTGCCTTGCCACGATTCTGTCTCTGAGCTCTTCAGGCAGTTCCTTTGACCTCATGATTCTCATTTGCTCTGACATGCACTGTGAGCTGTAAGGTCTTATATAGACAGGTGTGTGGCTTTCCTAATCAAGTCCAATCAGTATAATCAAACACAGCTGGACTCAAATGAAGGTGTAGAACCATCTCAAGGATGATCAGAAGAAATAGACAGCACCTGAGTTAAATATGAGTGTCACGGCAAAGGGTCTGAATACTTCTGACCATGTGATATTTCAGTTTTTCTTTTTTAATAAATTTGCAAAAATTTCTACATTTCTGTTTTTTTCTGTCAAGATGGGGTGCTGAGTGTACATTACTGAGAAATAAAATGAACTTTTTTGATTTTTGGAAAATGGCTGCAATGAAACAAAGAGTGAAAAATTTAAAGGGGTCTGAATACTTTCCGTACCCACTGTATAATATTTAAAGGGATAAGCATCACATGCTTTACAAATGTAATGTTTCAGGTATCATACAGGGGGTGGATGTAACAACTGGAAAGGCTAAATATTTAATGTAATCCAATCCACTGCAATAAAACTCAAGCATCCTCTCAAGCACCTCTGTCACAGAAGTGTTGATTCAACTCTCAACCGCCACTGTATTGGATTGCATTAAATTGTAGTGGGTAGGGGTTCATGTCAGTTTGTATACTGTATACACAACCTTCATCACATTTAAGTCACCTCTCTGGATTGATCATCTCCTCCGTCACATAGTTCAGGTAATTCCTAGGAGAAAATATAGAGTTCAAGACAATTTTAGTGATTGGATATAGACTGGAATTACTGTATATTGTATTGCAAAAGCAAAAACTTGGCAACTATAAATAAGCCATTTCTATTTCTTAACGCCTCACCAGCCTCCAAAAGCAAAGAGACCACTGTACAGAGCCAATACAATATTGTCCACTCCCGTTTTGCTGCCTTCAAATGCCTTTTCTGGTGTCAGGTACGGCACATCACCTGCACATACACACACAGAAAGAAAAACACATTTAAAGGATCTAAAACAACTGAAAGAAACATCCCCCTCTCTACACCGACAGCTTTACTTCATGAGGTAATTGTGGGGTTTCATAGACATTTAATGGATTGTCATTCAGGGCTCCCACCACTTTTTATTTCATGTATGAAGGCCAGTCTGTTGCAGCCTGCCCTTTGACACGTTTTAATTTTTCATCCAGCAACTAGCCAGTCTAAGCACTTTGCCTCCAGATTCTGCTTTGATGTACAGTAACATAATCAGGTTCTGCCCAGCTGACATTTAGAAAAGGACATAAATATCTATTGAGTAAGTAAGTAAACTCCACTCCACTCATTTACCCACAGCAGCTCACAAATCTAGTGTATCATTAGCAAGGACAATTAGGATGTGTGTGTGTGTTTCATGTTTTTATATCCCGGTGGGGACTTTAACTTGAATGCACACTAAGCAATGGGGACTCCTGTCACTGTGGGGACAAAAACTGAGGTCCCCACAAGTAGAGAAGTTTTTTGAGGGTTAAGACTTGGTTTTAGGGTACAGGTTAGAATTAGGTTAGGTTTAGGATAAGGACAAGGGAGATGTCCCCACAGGGATAGGGTACAAACAAGTGTGTGTGTGTGTGTGTTTTAAGTCTTGGTTCTGTGAGACTCTCTCCTCTACCTGTGGCTTTCAGATGTTAATGACTCTACTTTCCATGAGGCCTATTACGCACATATTATTTTCTCACTCTGTCCTTCTCTCATGCACTCTGAAAGACCACAGTGTGACAACAGCCGGCAAGCTTCGCCGCCTAGTTTCCATGGTAACACAGTGTGGAGCACAATGGCGGTGGGCGTGGCGTTGCAAAGGGGGTCAGTAGATGTAGCACAGAGCAAATGATGGCCACACTGTCTTCCCGCGCTGTTTAATTTTGATTCAGTTGCTTTGCTATTTCAGTTTTAAAAAGCATATATATCTTTCGTTACTCAAGATGGAGCTGACATTGCATATGTGAATCACATCAGCAGTGATTGTCTCCCTCCATGTTTAGGGCAATGGTATGGAAGATTCAATTCAAATAATGTGATTCATTGTGATTCATTGTAAGGGCAATTACTGCAGGCAGAAAGTGTATCTTTTTTGCAGCAGTTATCAATGTTCCTAATATGGCGATATCAATTCCATCATGTTCTGTTAGATACATACAGATGAGTCCTGTAAGAACCTAATTACACTCAGCAGCGCTCAGCTTCAAAGTACACCCACGTAGACTCGCACGCACATGGTTACACACTTGCACAGGCTCAATCACATGGCTGCAGACACACAAGCCTTGTGTTCAGACTCAGCAACTGTGCAAACAAACTGAAAGGAGGGCAGTCTGCTTGGTTGGGCTTATTAGTGTTAGTCAACAATTTGCTGATAATTAGAGACAAATGAAGTAAACCTCAGTATCAGCATTGCCAGTCGATACCATAGAGTCGATACTGACACACGTGGGGTGGGACACTATAACTATGCTTTGATAAAACCTGCAAACAGCAATAGTATTTATTTTAACAAACCTTTCATTTTTGCAATAAATAACAATGAAGTGGGAGTTGGTTTAACGCAGTGTACACAGCTGCATGCTGGGAAACACACACTAATCATATTGGAAGTTGGAGAAAGCAATGCTTGTTGGGACTGGGAGGGAGAAAAACCATAAAAGAGGATTTGGAACAAAGTATAATCATACTTCAGTTTCAAAACAGGTTTGAAAGTGTCTGCCTAATGCAGCAAGGTCACGGTCACACTGAAAAGTAGAGATTTACTGATCTATACTGAAGTATATTTCCATACTGTTTAATATTATATTTAAATAATTATTAGGGATTGGGGTTAGGGGTAATTTGGCCAATCGTATTATGAATGTAAATATTGGCACATGCCTCATTAGGGTTAGGGTCTCACATTAACACAGAACTAGTTTTCTAATTCTGTGTTGAAGTGATTCTGTTCAACAAAGAGTTGTGACCAACATGTTAGTATTGACATCAGGAATGATACCAGATGAACCAGTGAAATAGAGTGAACTTCAAAACCCAGCTGAAAGCAGATCTCTTTATGTTATGAAGACACGTGGCCACAGAATGCTGTAAGGCATAGTTTTACCCACAGCGTGAAAGAGCCAAACTATGAAGTAAAGAAATGAGGGTCAATCTGGACTTTTAGGTGACTGTTGCTCTTTGAGTAAGTGGGACTCACCTGTGGAAATCTGGATGAAGCCAAAGAGGATGATGATGATTAGAGCTAGCAATTTGGAGGCCGTGAACATGTCCTGGACCTTGGTGGCCGCTCTCACACTGATACAGTTTACAAACGTCAGGGAGGCTGCAGGAGGTACAAAAGAGAGTGGACTGGAATTAAGTATATCAAGTATATGAATTATTTGTCATCTCTAAAGAAAGAGAATATATGTCTACAGTTAGTTTTTGCAAGTTAACCCCAGCCATCAATCCCCACTCACTAAGACACAGGCAGGCAATGAGTTTGGCAGCACTGTCGGGCACGCTGCAGTTCGGGTAGAGAGGTTTCAGAAGGTAGGTTGCAAACACCAGCGACACCACATACTGTGACGACGGCCGGATGATGAGCATCTCCACCCACAGCTTCAGGAAGGCCGCCAGTTCACCATACACCTCCAGGATATAGGTGTAGTCTCCCCCCGACTTGGTGATGGTTGTGCCCAGCTCAGCGTAGCACAGGGCACCCATGGTAGAGATCACTCCACAGGCGGACCAGATGATCAGGGAGAGCCCTGCTGAGCCGGTCTCTTTGACCACGCCTGTTGGAGTGACAAAAATGCCAGAGCCGATGATGGTGCCTATGATCATTCCCACGCCGTTGAAGAGGGTGATACTGCGTTTGAGCTCGATCTTCTCCCCTTTGGTAGGTGAGCCATCAGTGGGACTTGTGGCAGTGGGAGCAGGGACCATGAGGGTAGACGGCTGCTCTACAATCAAATCGTCCTGGTCTGGGTCTGCATCAGCTGCTGTCAGAGAGAGGACAGCGGACCAGGAGATTAGATGAGAGAGTTTCACATTTGAAAAAAATCATCAGTGTCAGTCCACGTGCCCATGTGTGCATTCTGGGTCAATATATGTGTGGCATGGCTTATTCAAAAACAGGTTAAGCAGGCTCATCGGGGTAATTTTGAAAACCTGTTTTTGAAGAGTGACACCTTACCTACCTAATTAACCTCTCCTTCTGTTAATGTGAACACACACTGCATCAGGTTATTATGTTTACACTCACAGAAAAGGGCTCGTGAGGCACACAAGGTCTATTTTTGAGTAATTTGTGTCATATTTAATCACCTTAATCACACAGACACCACTATGGTACATCTCTATAGCCACGTTAATCTCAATGTACTTTTGCATCAGGCAATGTTGCATCAGAGCGCATGGCGGAATAATGCAGCGCTGCACCATGTGGTATTTACAGGAGTGAGAGCATGCACAGTACAGCATGCACAGTACCTACCTCCCATCTTCTCCTGGCTCGCCGCCTTGGCAACGCTCTCCCGGCTGCTCCGTGATTTCAGCTCCGGCTCAGCCATCTTCCCTCTTAATCTGGGTCCCCCTGTCTTGTCTTTTTTCCTCCGGGCCCCCTGTTTCCTTCCGTCCTTTATGTCCCCTTTCTCCTCCTGCCTGGATCTCCTCTCTGTCTCTCTAACACACGCAACCACCCCACCCCCTAACTCTCCCTAACCCTCCCTGATTCGTCCTCTCTCACACACATACACACACATTGTCCACTTCATTCGCGCACACTGCCGTCGTCACTCAGACTTGAATTCATCTGACCCTGATCCCATCTGTCCCAACCTCCCTCCCTCAGTCTGTCTCTCCAGGATACAGCAGGGAGGAGCTGAACCTTTGATGATGCTGCTGCTGCCTGAGCCTACGCCCACTCCAACTGAATGATGGGATAGCTCAGAGGGGAAAGTAGGTTACTGGCAGGGACCATTTGGAGGGGCCACCATGTGACACTGTAATCTTTTCGTGTGCTGCCTAATCCGGTGGTATACTTCATGTCGACGTGTGTCTGTGTGTGCTTTGGTGTCAGAGCGTCTCAGTAAGGATGATGCATATCTGGTGCTCCCTCTACTGGTGTTAATGTGAAAAAACAAGGGTCTTTGTTCTCCGTCACGCACAAAGGTGACGCCACAGAGAAAATGGAGACCCCAATGGCAATATGCAGTGCAGACAATGCAGAATAATAATGACTCAGCACATGGTATTTCTGGATCACCTAATGCTTTTTCCATCTCCATATTGGCTAACATGAAATTGTGAAATTGTCCCAAGGTGTTCAAACAAGACAAATACTACAGTATTATAATGTCAATGTGCACTGCTCCATTACAGTAAGGACAGTATAGCTTACTGTAAGTACAGACACATACTGGTCAGTTATAGAAATAATTTTGCAAGGGATTCTGGACATTAAAGAGCTTAAAGGGTGGAAATCAAGGGCAACTGGGCTTCTTTCAAGGATATTTGAAGATGCTTCACCTCTCATCCAAGAGGGTTCTTCAGATCTGGCTGACTGGCATCAGAGCATAAGCTATGGGTTATCAGATCCCTGCACCATTGAGTTGATAACATACCAACAAGTGCCCAAGCTCAAAAGAATGAGCATAAACAACTGAAGGATGCACTTACAGCTTGTAGATATCCCAACTGGCACTTTACAAAAACAGCCACAAGACAACAACAACATTGTGATTCCATATGTGTCTGGAGTATTTGATAACCGTAAGAGGATTTTTGACAAGCACCCTGTGTTTTTTAAACCCAAGTACACACTAGGATAGATACTAGTCCACCCTAAAGGCTGCACGCCCAAACACAAGAAAAGCAATCTAGTGTATGCTGTCGAGAGTGGTGAGAAATGCACAGACCTATTTCTTGGGGAAACTAAATAACCATTACACAAACGCATGGCTCATCACAGAGGGGCCAACTCCTCAGGTCAAGACTCAGCAGTTTACCTACATTTGAAGGATTAGGGACACTATTATACTATAACAACAATATTCATATTCTATATAGGGAGGAAAGATGTTTTTAGAGAGGAGTGAAATAAGCCAGAGTCAACACCAGAGTAGAGAAACTATCTCTCAAGAGTGGAGGTCTGTGACGCCATTTATCACCTGCTTAGAGTGCTGTCTTTCATCTCTTCCCTGGAGATTGAACAAACGCTCACATTTGGCATCATGTGACAATGCCAATGAAGGTCATTCAGACTTGGCCTCAGGTGACTTTACAACAACCATAACGACTGTTGCTACAACAGCCAGGAGCACTAACGAACCAAGCTGTGTGGGCCTTTCCATCAAATTCACAATGACCCCACTGAGGTTAAATGGCTGGGATTCCCTGCCAGTCAGCCAGAATTGAAGAAGCCTCTTGAATAAGAGGCGAAGCATCTTTAAGTATCTTCAACCAAGTCCAGTTGCGCTTGATTTAAAACTTACCTTGGCTAGCAATGGCCCGGACGACTAAGAGTTTTCACAGACATCTTTTAGGGAAATTGTGTAGATGTGTAAAAGTAATAAATTTTTATGTCACTGAAAATGGTCATCAATCAAGAGGTTGAAGCTTTTATTTGCAAAGCATATCCTATAATGTCAGGTTGATTTGCCTTATGGGCACTTAGTTTGACGCTGATGAATTGCACGTCACATTTTCAACCACTAGATGGATACCTAAACACGTTTCAAATTGGGGACTTGCTTCTGGTAAACAAGTGATACGTTTATGTTTATGCCGCTCCGTCATTAAATGCGATGCAATAAAGAACGGAGCGGATGTAGTCTACATTTCTCATTCACAAGCTCTAGTAAATTAGGTTAGCTTTTTTTTGCCTGTTGTGTAAAAGACACCAAACGTGCATAATGTGTGTTCACACCGTCCACAGTAAACCTGCAGTGTTGAGCTTCCATTCAAGACGGACGAGCTAACTTCCTTAAAATGTTTGTTGTAATGTAAAATGTGCATTCCGAGAATGAGCCCCGTTCTGTTTAAGCGGTAGTAGTTGCTTACTTGCATTACTATCAACGCTGACAAAGTCGGCCAACGATCCCCAAGCTCAGTTCATGCGAACATCTCAGCTTTATGAAGGGTGGACGCTGGTCGACACTGGAATCACCCAGAGCACTTTCTGCCTCGAGTCCGGGGACTTTCCCCTGGGCGAGAGTGAGAGAAACCAGGTCCTCAGCTTGTAGCCCAGAGTGCAAGCCTTCTGAATGCCCGGATGTGATATGGCGGGCACGGAGTATAAGTAGGAGCATATACGGCAGTTATTCACAATCAGGGTGTCACAAAAGTTAGACGTGTTTTTTTTTGCAGTGTAACGTTACTCTGATCAACTGCGAGCGGAGGTTTACTCTTACAAACTTCTCCGTTGTTTGTAAGTAGATAGTTGTTGAATTAAAATATTAAACACCGTGAAGGATCATGGGAGATTTTAAAGGCATAGTGTGCCACAGACCGTGCCCACCACAATAATGTTTCACATTTCTTATTTCTTTATTTCTTTATCCAGGCACAACTGTGCCCAGTACAAATACTCATGACACTGGAGATTGAATAGGAACCTGGCTGCTATCACTTTCAAATGGATTTACAAGTCTGTTTAGCCTCTGATACTAAATGATGTCTGATTGCAATAGTTTACATTATTGCTCATAACACAGAAATGCGGGAAACCACAAATTCAACATCATTAATTTTCATGTCTCCAATTATTGTTTTCAAGTAAATATTATTAACTAAAAGAAATAATATGCTAAAGAGAAAAACAAAAGGGAGGTATAATAAGGAATAAATCGTGATAAAACGAATTATTCAAAACATTAGACAAAGGAAATGAAACTCGAAGCATATCTTTTATGCTTCTTGTGTGAATAGTGTCTCCATGTATGCTATCTTATATCTTTTTAAAGCAAAGGGGCGTGTTTTCCATCTGTTAAGACTGAGTAGGACCACAGACTAGGCCTATCTCCATGAGTCATGATTTAAATTTAAAACGGAAAAATAAGACATTAAATCGGAAGTCTCACAAGAAATTAACAGTCTCAGTTAATACTAAGAGGTCGTCTGTTACATGAGCATTCACATAAAATAAATAGTTTTGCCTTCATTAATTTAGCCTACTTTACGGACTAAAGCTCATTGTCGAGATCACATGTAAACTACTCAACTAAACTGTATGTCTGAAATCACAAATAAATGTAGTTCTCATTCAGAAATTGTGGAATAAATAATGGCAGACAATGGAAATGTTTGAAGTACCTCAGAATTGCTCTTGAGCTTAACCTAGTAACTTTCCACTTCCAGTAACTTTATACTTGCATCTGAGAAATATATATTAAGTCAGTTGTGGTATATAGCTAATTAAATAAAGGTTATGACATTTTCCATTTCCTGCTTCTTTTTACTAAATTTCAGAGATAATCATTGTAATTTTTATTGCACTATATTATTTATTACAGATTTACAGCTTACATACAGAACATATGATCAGTAATGATTAATAATAGCTGCACCTCAACCAGTTACAACATTAAAATGCTGACTGTAATGTAGAATCAAATTATATTATGAGAGAAAGACATTATCACTACAGCAATACAATATATTTTTATGTGAGTGCTTAGAATGGGTGGTGTGACAGGCAATAGACACATCAGGCAATAATTGCTTAATAATATATTGCTTGCACGATTGGATTGATATGAAAATGAAATGTTGCAACAATATAATGGTACATTAATTACTGCTTGTGGCGATCAGGTTGGTTCTGGATAGACCTTTTTATATACAGTCTATGGAATACACAGGCTGTGCTCCAGCCCACAGAGACATTTTAGCAGTGTGGAGGGCATTGAGGCTTATGCGATCAACCTGCTGTGAGAAAAATCCATGATTTTGCATGTCTTCTGCTTTCAAGTTGAGGTAGTTTGTGCTCATCACCTTCAGTAACTGCTCTGAGACAACAATGTGTTAAAAGCGGGACAGGTATTTGTGAAGCTACACTGGTTGTTACCCGAGGTGAAGGAAACATTTAAATCTTGACATAAAAGTAACAATTCCACAGTAGAGGAATACTCCATTAAAAGTCCTGGATTTTCCTGGATAAATGCTTTATGTAGGCTCTTCACAGTAAATATACCTGTATTGGTGTCAAAGGGCTCATTGCGACGAAGGGGTATTTCAGTGTTAGCTGGTCCTGGTGGAGCTAAGCCTGATTATATCATGCATATCTGGGGATTTTTGTGCTTTTAGATGAAATGAAGGATTAGTTGCTCTACATAATATAAAAAGTGTGTTTGATACTGTATAGGTACTAGAAACGACACCAGTATTTTAGAAAGCTTATCGCACAAGTCATTTTGAATGTAGCATCTCGATCTGCAGCTTCACTTCCAAATTCGATCATCAGATAAATGTGGAGGAGGGAAAGGTACAATGATTAGTGGTATAAGTAATAAATACCTCAATGTTGTACTTACTGGTGAGAAGGTTACTTACAGTTCCTGAGTAGAAAAGGAAGTTACTACAAACCCCTGGTAGATATTAAGCACATGGTGACATCTCTGTGAAACAGAAATATCACAATCTTGTCTGATATGACCCATCTGTCCATGACGATCAGTAAAACCAAGACCAATAGTACGCCGTTACAAAATGTTCAACTGACGTACATTTACAATAGCTTTGGCCATTTCCCCCACATATTTATGTCTTTCATTATACGGCCCAAAACATTTTCCTTTTTCTCATACTTTGTTTTACCTGTCATCTAACTTTCTACTTTAATTTAGTCTATTTCCATCATTGTCTTGTTTTGCTTTAATTTTATTTTATTTTTGTCCTCACTATTTTTAGTGTTCTTCGTTGTTCTCTTGTTACATTTTTTCCTTCCGGCTTTCTTTGCCCTTGCAGTCATCTCATATCTGTAATCTTATTTCACAGGCTGCTCCTATGTCCTCTGTCATCACCTTTTAATCCTATGAGCATTTCTTAATCTCTTTTTACTAAAAAAAATTCTCTCTCACTCTCTTTTACATTCTCTCCACCCATTTCTGTCTCTCTTACTTGTACATCTCAGCCGTCTGCCTCCACTCTTCCATCCTACTCTTTTCCACTAGATATTTCTTTTTCTTGCTGTTATGTGTTTATAAATGAGGAGAGACAGTGATAGCGTCATGATGGATGTTAAACCCTGTACAGCATACAACAATGTTTGTAGACACAGGAGGGATCAGATGTTATGTAGCGTTATGTAACTTGATGTAGGAAACACTTGGAATGAGCATGTGTGATGGTGTGCTGTGTGCATGTATGTGTGAGCGTGGCTATGGGAACATATGGGCATGCGTGGGAAAGTGATGAGAAGAAAAAAGGATGAAATAAGAAAAAAGAGAAATGGAGAGAGAGAGAGAAAATTAAAGAAAAAGATATGAATATAATGTGCATGTATGCACCCTACATGCACAATAATAATAATAATAATTTATAAGTTATACTAGAACTAGCTGGCTTCATTTGTAAATGGACCTCACTTGTGCATGGGGGCATTGTCATTTTGAAACAGGAAAGGGCCTTCCCCCAAACTGTGGACGGTGGAAGCACCATTGTATAAAATATAATTGGATGTTGTAGCTTTAACATTCCCCAAAATTTAAAATAAGGGGTCGAGCCCAAACAAAAAGCTATATTTTACCTGTGTTTTTCATGTGTTTTTCTTCTCTCCGTCTCTCTTTCTGTGAGCTGTGTGCTGTTCTTGTGTGCTGTTCACCGGTGGTGCTTGAAGCGTCGCATCCTCTTGAACCACTCCACTAATCTGTGGTTGGTCAAGTGCTTTTTAGTTCAGCCAAACTATCCAGATAGTGATTTAAGTACCGATCTGTGATCTGTTCTCCTTTTCAGTAAATTAACAGGAGTTGTTTTTAAGTGATCTGGAGCTTGCTGAGCAGGTACACAAGTATGTGCTTCAGGTTTAATCTTCATTTTTGGCACCTTTAGGGCAACAATGCCATTTAATAACCCTGATAACACTGCACAGTAAGACTTAAAACAATGAGTGTTTTTTCTTTTTCTCTCTTTCTTTATTCACTGCTGCACTAATGTTTACGTATTTAAAGAAATATTTCTTATCTGTACAAAAAATCATTCACTCTCCTTGTTTATTGGCAGGATGATAAACTTTACATAAGATGATGAATGTCATCACTCCTGTTTTATTCAGATCTACACCATATAACTGAAAAAAAAATCTAAATAGAAGCTCCACAGTTATTCTGTTTGTGAGCTGATGTACTCCTCCACATAAGATTGTGTCATCTGCCACTTATGCCGCGAATGTGTAGCCAATGGAAGTAGGCAGTGGAGCCCATCTGATAACACAGATCAAACGCCTTCTAATTCCATAAATATATTTTGTGCCTTGGGCCGTCAGTAATCCCTCCTTGATCAGCTGTCACTGTAAGCTGGCCTGGAAAATGCTAGAAGACATGTAACTGTACACATCGCTGCATTCCCTGAATCCTTTACTCTCACCTCCTCCTCCCTCCCTCCCTCCTCCTGTTACCTTGTAGCTTATCGCAAATCTGACCACTGGTGTGTGTCTATGAGTGTGCATGTGTGTGAGCCACACACACAGGAAATCAGAGTTCAGGCTTTCTGCTTAAGTTTGCTTCCCTTCGGCGTCAATGTGCCTTGACAGTTGACCCTGTCAAGGCACTTCACACACACCGTCTCTTCACACACCACTTCTTCCTCCCTCTCTTCCCTTTGTAATTTTTTTCCTGTGTTACTCCTCTCTCTGAATGGTTCATTCCCTCTCACCCAGTCTCCAACTATTCTAACCACATATTCTTAATTATACACAAGCACAAACACATGCACATAAACTCCTAATTGTTCAAAAAGCTGTGTAGTGACACTCAGGTGCATTAACATCGCGGACAGAAAAGCCTTGTCTACTAATGGGTGCAAAACATCCCAAATGGCATCCATTTGCAGGCAATTAATCCACACCATACTGACTGACTCGCCTTCTCTTACATCCACCTTACAGTTATAAGTGTCTGCTCGGTCTGCAGTGGAAATGGACTATTCTTTGCGCAATTTGCACTAGGAAATCACACAAAAAGACATAATGGCTTCAACATACTGTGTAAGTTTAGGAACAGATTCTGCTTTTCACTATTAACCTTTTATTTGAATTATGTGAGATATGTAAAAAGGATTC